GGAAACTGGATTTGTTTCATTATTATTTTCCTATTCTATTCTCATTTTATTTTTATAATTCTTTTTCTATTTTCATGCTTGAAGATTGAATGTTCTATAAATTTTGAAAGTTAGAAAGTTAGAAAACTAGAAAAAAAACTAACAAAATAGAAACACAAAATGTAAAATGTCGATTTTAAACAGAAAACCGTGTTTTTTTCTCGTGAAATTTGACGAAAATGGAACAAAAATCACAAGATTTTGTAAAAAGTAATGCTTCTTCTCGAAATTTCGCTCTAACAAACCAAAATATCACCAAATTAGTTCTAAAATTGTCTTATTTTTGCTTTCTTCGAATGTTTTTGAGCAAACAACACACTTTTTTCGCCAAAACAAACCGAAAAATATGTCAAAATTAGCGCATTTTTTTCTAAAAGCCAAAAATATGAGTTGTTTAGATGAAAAAATTTCAATTTGCACATTTTCAAAAATATCGAAAAAATCATCCTTTTAACTTTTTTCTTATATTTGCCCAAAAAACCCAAAAAAGTACGTTATTTTTGCCTTTTTCGAAGATTTAAGCAAGTTTTTAAGCCAAAAACTTAAAAACAACCCAAAATTGTTCTTATTTTGGCTTGTTTAGCTCGATTTAGCTTGATTGTAACCTAAAAACACACTTTTTTCACAAAATTTTGTTGAAATTTTTTTTTCAGTTATAAACACAACAAAAACAACCTTTTTCGTATTCCCAAAAGTGCAATTCCAAAAATTTTCAAAAAAAACACAAAAAAAACAAAGTTAACACTCACTTCCGCCCTAACCGGAAGTGCCACCATTTTAAAAATATTTTTATTCAACGCCACCTATCCTAACCCAACTATTTGCAAATTTTTAGATTAATATCATTGTGAGAACTCAAAATATTTCAAATAAGAGGTTTAGCCGGAACACTCTGTAGAACAACACAACCTTGACCTTGAAAACCGAGTCGTAGGGAAAGAAAGAGAAAAAAACATTGGACGAAACTGAGGGAAGAGTGAGAGGTCAATGTTGTGTTTTGCATCCCCCACTCCCCAGAAAATAAAAAAATACCAAAACTTGTTTCTTTTATTGTTAAGTAGTGTTTTAAATATTTACCAGCGTAAAGTAACCTCAAATTCAAATCCTTGGTGAGTTGAAAATCCCGCTTAGCATGGTCCACAACCGGGTCGATAAGTATGCACTCTGCACTGTCAGCATCGCCCAATAAATACGTGTAAGTCGAGCTTTTCGGGTCGAATAACTAAACAAAATAACGAAAAAAACCACCCCATCATTGTTTTATTTCACACACCACATTTTCTCACCTGTCTGAAAATAAAACTCGACGAAAACGGCTTAAATCGTGTCACACAACTCATGTTTCGTGAGGTTATTAAATGTAATGATCTGAGCAACATTTCGGGTAATTACCCCTTTCAGGGGGGGCGATTTGGGGTATTTACCGAATTAGTAATAGGGTGAATCACGTAGAGGGCGGGATTGGGACTTTTACAAAGATTTACAATAAAACAACCACAAAACACAAAAAAACTGCAGTGACTGTATTTTTATCAATGATAAATCGAAAATTTCACAATCTTTAAACGATTATTTGATTAAATGATTGTTTATTTAACAATTTATTTAACAATGTTGACAATTTGTCAACAAAACTGAATTAATAGGCAAAGTGCGAACTTGGCTGTATTACTGGTTGCCCACGCTAATAGTTTTTGCAAATGTGTGATGTGCTAATGCACTGTTTTTATTTAATTTAATAACAAAAATTGAAGCTAAAATTCGTAAAATAAATATCAATTTTGTTTTAATTGCCAAAAAGTGGATTACAAACTCTCACAACTTATGCAACTCCAAATACACACGTGTGCGACGTATGCCGACTCTTACCAACCTTAACAAATTATAATCAGCGCGCAAATTCAAATGTGGAAATTTCGAACGTGAATATCTCGAAAAGTATGCGTTGCACGTGAAAATGAAGTATGTCAAAAAAGATGCGCAATGGAAGGTTCTGTCGAATGGTTTAGTCGAAATTGATTTTGGCGATGGTCATTTTCGTATCTCACTTAGGAAAAACAAAATACCTAACTGATTTTATATTTTTGAAATCTATGCTTTTAGCTGAGATGTATGAGGGGTGACACGATAGGGTTATTATGAGTTTGAAAAACCCACCCCTAAAATGTTTTTTATGCAATGCAACTTGTTTTATGTCACATAGTAGGGTTATGAATGAAGAAAAGATTTCCATAATTTGAGATTTTTTGGTCGACTAAAAACCGAGATATTGAATTAATTAATGTCAACAAAATTTTTTTTGGTGTCGACTGTAAACTCATTTAACTCATGTAATTTTTCTCGATCTTGTCAATTAATATTATAGAGTTAGAACAACTTTGAAAGTTTTGAAAACTGCGAAATTTATGAAATTTTTGCTCGACCAAAAACTACCAGTAAGTCTTTATTTTGATTCTAAATAAAGCTGTAAGGGTCCCAAAGCTC